CACATCTCTCGTATTCTCTTACCGTTGCGTTTTGCACTATTTCTTAACAATGCCACTCTTTACATTATAAAAGCTTGTCTGAATTAATGCATGATGTCAATACTGCCTCAGCGCCGATTAAAATGCATAGTTTATTTATGAAAACATCTGATGTCCATTCTTACAATACCCGTTCCTCTACCTCCAGTAACGTTTACATAAAAGCCTCAAATCTTGAATTACAAAAAAACGCATTCTCAAGAATCGGTGCCAGATTATGAAAAGAGATACCACATAATCTAAGAGAGCTACCAAAAAAGTCTTTTAAAGCTAGAATTAAAAATGAATTACTATGCAAGGCAAAGAAAATGCCTTTTTTCAGATACACGAGATTATTCGTAAACTGAAATCTTTTAAGTAGTTGAAATCAATGTCTTCTCTCATTATTCTCCCCTGATTTGTTTTAGTAGTCTCAAGGTTACCTCCCACCTTCGCGGGTGTCCTTCGGGAAAAAAAATCGTAAGCGCTCCAGTTTCAATAATACCCCCAACAAACTTATATCAGAAAAAGCTTAATAAATGTAGTTTACGATAAAAATACAATTTAAGCGAGTTTTTCTTTTAGGAAGCGTCAGGAGCGAGTAAGGCGTGAAACGACCGAGGAGTCTTCTATTGAATTTATTGGCTATGGAATGCCGCCACACGAGCAAAATGGCTGCACAGTCTTATTTACAAGGCATCAATCAACAAAACTGTGTCGGGCTTTTTCGATATTCTGATTGGTTGTCTAGATATCCGCATCTAAAGTTGGAGTAGCTAAAAATGTATAAGACGTGTGGCGTAAATGGACGCCACGGAAAAAATATGCTAAATATCAAAATTTCCCGACACACTTTCGTTTGCCATTATCCCTGAAATGTTCTGGCGAAATTTCACGAAAATCCGTCAAATCTGCATTCCCTGTAAATTCGCTCAAAGTGGAGGTATTCCTCCCAAAATCAAATGCGAGATTTTAGCTCGTAAAGATTCGTAAACAACTCGTGCCACGCCAGGAGATTATCTCGCTTTACGAAACCGCAAACGTCAATTAAAATGAATCATGAGTTCCCGGGAAAAGCATCGCATTGTAACACATTTTCCATCTCGCTATCGCATTGAAGAGAAAGAAACTAAAACGGGCAAAGTAGCCAAAGGCAAAAGAACAAATAAGCGACATAAACAAAACCAAATAACATGAAATACGAGCTCCAAGATGAGCGTTTGCCGCGAAAATTTCCCTTGGTGGTTTCGTCCATTTAGCGATTATGACACCTTCCCGGTTTATTAACTTTATCTGAAAATACGTTTTTTCTAAATAACTCGGCCGCTTTTTGAAATTTTTAAATAGTTTTCTTTTTTAAACTTCAGATAAAATGACTGACTTAAATTTTGTCAATGAAAAGAAAAAAACGAATTTTTGTGCCCTTGAAGGTGGGAAGTAACCTTAATATAGAGAAACGATAATAATATTAACTACATCTTTACTCTTAAATTAATTGTTATTATTGTTATTTAATTAATCTAGTTATATGCATGAGCGATTAACGGCCCGCCTAGATTAGCACTCGCTATCCACGGGCCAAATAACATGTAATTTTAAAATGAATAAAATTAAAGATTATTGTTGTTGTTGTACCTCAAGTCAGTGGCGTCAAAATTGCCACTGTTTACAGATGATCCATTTTCCAAGTTGAGAGGCTCATAGCCACTTTGATTTTATTACCGAAATGTGATCACCATATTCAAATGCAGCTTTATGGTAAGATTGAACAATTTTGTGGAAACGCAGAATCACCTTAAATTTTCACAAATTTAATGTGGCTCTGATTCCCTGCTCTTACATTTTATCCACGACTGAAGGGTGTGTTAAAAGGTTACACCGTTGTCTAGTAACCAATGATCAGGTATTTGATATCATCATTGTAGCATTCAATAAAAGCAGAATTAGCATTGATCCATCAGAGCAGAAGTGCTGAAAAATGATGAAAACCGTTACCAGCCACCCTGAACAAATTATTATATGGCTGGTGTGAGTAGCTGATATAACGCGTGCCCTGATTGGCTGTTTTAAGGCAAGATATTCCGAGACGTATTATTTATTTACAACTCAACAAGGGTAGAAAATGCATCTTACTGTTCTGCTAGATTTGTCGGTTGCGCGATGTCATAATGAGCAACAAGGATTGCTGTTGTGATAAAACTGATACTCATCAACACACCAACAATAACAAGCAGTCCTCGCAGGCGAAACCTAGAAACAAAGACCAAGCTGGAATAATACACGCAAAAGAAAGACAACACTTCAAATGACCACAAGGCAGTATCGCTAATCAAATGGTCACGAGTCAAATCAGAAAATAATTTTACGCACGTTTTGTCAAAATTATAATAATTAAAAAAAATTAAATTATTCGAATTTTGACAAAACGCAAGTGAAATTATTTCTTAATTTCACAGGTCGAGTATACTATTCGATTACCTTTTAACCACATGGGTGATAAATTACATGTACCGAGAAATTTCGTGCCAACACGAATTTTGTAATTTCACATGTGAAATTAGAAACTGATATTTTGCGCCCAAAATTAAGGAGTAATTTGTCACTTTGGATCGCGGGCTCATGTCAGGTTAACTTTTCGTTATCAGGGACGGGTTTTTCGGAAGCCCGTTAACGCTCACCCAGGATTAAAACTAACCGGAGTCTACATTTTTTCTTGTATACAAATGTTGTTTACTGCTTTTGTTGTCTGTAGTTTGATACTATTCAAACTCAAAACAGAAGGCCAAAGAGTCTACGGAAAATCTCAATGCAAAGTTACAAAACTCAAATCAAAATTGTCGCTTATCCTGGATAAGCTCAATCGGGCTTTGAACAACCCGGCCTCCGCTTTTAGGCTTGGCTAAATCTCTATATTACTAGAAATCGAACCAGATTACCCAAATACCTGGGACTCCCATATCAAAAGATCGAGGACGCTCATCCTTAAATTTGAATTAAACCCATAAAGGAGACCAATTTGGGCGTGGCTCAAGCCTTATTTCACCCCCAAAAACGGAATAGACTCGATTACCAGCCGCTAGTCAGGAAAGGAGCCCACGCTAGTAGACTGGACTTGAAAGACCGGCGAGACGACCAGCATCGCTGACCTTTTCATGCTGGAGTACTCCCAGAGCTCCCCTTTCGCCCCTTCATCTCCCCCCCCCCTTCCCTTTACCTGTATGCTGTGAAGAGAATAGCAGGTGCAATGACGTAGAACTGCATGTCATTAGCTAGGTACCAGGTCCAGCCCATACACTGTAGAGAGAACATAAAATCATATNCCCTTCCCTATACCTGTATGCTGTGAAGAGAATAGCAGGTGCAATGACGTAGAACTGCATGTCATTAGCTAGGTACCAGGTCCAGCCCATACACTGTAGAGAGAACATAAAATCATATCCAATTTGTAATACACAAGTTATTAGTATAAGTTGTGGTACACAAAACCGTAAGTAGAATTTTTGTAACGGGACGAAATGAAGTGAGTTTCTGGGAAGGGTGTAGGAGGGGGCATACTATCCTCGAAAAAGTTTGAAATCTAAATGCTCCGATTTGGTTCGGGGGATGGGGCCAACTGCCCTCCTAGCCCCTCCGCCAGCTTTTGTCTTGCTACAATAGGCCCTTTCCTTTAGTAATTTCTATATTTGTCCATACTTAGAATTCAAAAAGCTACTGGTATTGTTCTTTCCAGTTTGATAACATCAACTCAAGAACATTAACTATCTAAGCCTTGAAGGGTACTTTCTATATGGCGAGCTCAGTGAACGGGAAAGATGAACCATATCATGCGTTGCGATTGGCTACCCAAGAGGGCAAGATGGCGCTATCTTGCCCGCTCGGGATTACGCGCTGTGTCCCGAGCCAATAGTCTTTTTAGTGTTCTTTATCTAAAATAAAAAATGCTTGAGTAAGCTTCTTCGGTTAAGATAGCTGGGTATTGGTCTTTTTTTCTTGGCCTGTTAATGGACCTCTGCTTTTCGATCATGACTTGGTGTACATTGTACATCATGTAAAGGTATGTGGTGAGTGCCAAAGGCATAACATTTCCTACATTCGCCTTTTCAGGACAAATTATACAACAGTGAGATTTTAAAAGATGTGATCATGATAAAGCAGAATATCTGCATCACATGATTAAACCACCGTTGATCTCTTCCCTGCCATCCGTAGAAATTTTCATAGCAGTAGATTGTCAGGCAACTAGAAATAGAAACAAGTTTCCCCTTTACAAGCCATGTGGTGCTGTCCGAACATATCTCCCTGGAGGTTTTTTATATAAGTTAATTTCGATCCAAGCAATCCGTTGCATGACTTGCTGTAATTGTGACGTCAAGCTCATAACATTTTTCTGTGCCTCTTGTCGTTCCTCAACTTCTCGCCCCCAACAAATGTCTTTCTTGTATGTTTATTCGTTCCTACTGTCCTGTAATCAAGTAACGGTTATCCGAAAGCATTAGGAGAATTAGTGTTCAACCCATTTTTTTTTTCATTTTAGATGAGCAGTTAATCTCACCTGTGCATCAAAAGTCGGATAGAAATTGTTGATGTACAATAGATTTGTCCACCAGTATTTTCTACATTGGTATACGAACTTCTCTGGATGCCACAAAGGACCCTCACCAAGAAATCTTAACAGCTTGCCCAGAAACAGCAAAACAAACATGTAAGTTGGAGTTAACCTGTTTACAAACAGAGACAGATTTATGATAAAAAATATGGGCTTACAAAATGATGTATGAAGTTATTTTGAATTGAATCAGGTATAATCAACTCAGACTAGAGTAAAACTTGTATTAAGCTAATTCGGATAAAGTTGAAAGCACATCCTTTTTTCTCCAGTTTGGCGTTATATTATATTCCGTGTTGTCGATGAGAATTAACAGAGAACATCGTTTTAGACGAGATCCAGTAGACTGGCACCTGATGGGAGGACAATTTCGTTCAGGAAGTCGTTATTCCTGGAGAATGGAGTAAGAACTTTAATACATCAAGTAATTTCTTAAATGTGCACATGTTATCCCATTCATTCGAGCTCGAGGTAGCGTTTCATTTTCAACTGTATCCGGATTAGTGTGGAGGTGCCTGGTTCTGCTAGCCCCTATGGTTATTCCAGGCAGCCAGTATTCTAATTTTTATCATCGATATTTTTGATTAACACTTAATGACTGGTCCCTTGAGGAATAGTGAGGTTTGATTCCCGAGAATCTGCATGTTTCCCGAGACGAAGTCGAGAGAAACACTGAGATTCGAGGGAAATAAAATTCACTGTTCCCCAACGGACCAGTCATTAAGTGATTTGTTGTATAGCAAAATAAAACAAAAGCAAATTTTGAAAAACGCGCTCAGATTCCAGCGACGACATTAGGCCACCCTCAACTGCACGCTCTAATCATGTGCAACAGCGGTCAACGTTTCGCGGGTAACGGTGAACTGTTTCCCGTTCGAGGCCATATTTTTCGCAATGTTGCCCGCCCATGGCATTTGGCGGTAAACAGTTTCATTGTTAGATGTCATGTGACCATAAACTAGCTAATGAATGGGGCGTTGTAGCATGAAAAACGCCAGCTGTACAGCAAAGATTGTTGTTTTTGTTGTTGAAATTGCTTACTGAAGTAAACTTTACCTCCAAAAACGACGAAAATAATACTTGAAGAGTGGAAGTTCGCCGTTTTTCTTCTCCATATGACGCAGTGACAAATAAGCGACTAAGAGACCACTGTTGATAACGTTCAAATAACAAAAGAAATTACATGGGGTAGGAAGTTAGTGGATTTACCACTTTGGCAGACCAAGAATCGGTTTCATACGAAAACGTCAAAATGAACATCCGATTATAGAGGTTCTGTTCGCCTGAGAAAATTACTTCATTGAGATTGGCCAGGAGCAGACATATTTTTAGTCAATTTTAAATTTCCACTCAGTCCAAACAATGCGCGTGAGTTCCTAGTTTTCTCAGTCATACACCGTAAAATCCCACGTTAAAGCCCTGTACTTATGTAAGTTCATAGGGGGTTTTTGGGCGGGCTTATAAACGGGAAGGCATATAAGCGGAATACAAAAAATGTTTCGGAACGACCAGATAAAACGTCTAACATAGCGTTACATTTAGAGCTATTAGATTATATAAAATGTTTCCGAATGATGAGATAAAACGTCTCTGAGAAACGAATTAAAGTTAACATACCATTACATTTAGCTATTACACTGATTTATAATACATTTATAAAACGCAAATGGAACGCACTTATACATTAGATGGGCTTATATCCGGGGGGCCATATATCCAGAAAAAATATCTTTGTTAGCAAATAGCAGGGCTTATATCCGGGGGGGCCTTATAACCGGAGGAGCTCTAACGTGGAATTTTACAGTAATAAATGAGTAATTGAAAGAAAGCTCGAGTAATTGAGGATTTTCACTACTTGAGATAACTGAAAAATCTTTAAACTTGTACTCGCCGCAAGACTCGTGCAATTTTGAGAGATTTTCAAATATCACTCGTAGTGTAATCCTTAACTGCACTCACATTCATGCAATTACCTGTACTGGTTTTACTGGCAGAATTGTAATTAATAAAATTATAATCCAATTCTTATTAAGCGGAGCACCATCTGTCTGTTTTTGAAAACAAACACTGTCTTTGATTAAATGTGAAAAAGATCTAAGCACGAACTAAAGAACAGTTCTTTTAGATTTTGAGCTTTTTAACAGTTCTAGTAATTACCTGAGGAAAAAGAAACTGTCAACTGAATAGGTTCCATTGCCAACAGCTTGAAATGTGAAACGGTGAATAATGTCATAAGACGTCAGCAAATTGCCTGAAACAATATAAAAAAACTAAGCAAAAGGCACCATCACTTACAGATCATACAGCTTAACTAAGAGCTCAAAGGAGAAGAATTTGATGGTGCGTTAGTAGAAAATTAAAACTTCTAATCTATATTTTTTCCTCTTTTTTCGCAAAACGGTATGGAAAGTGATTTACTGAAAGAAAAACATAGGTCACCGAACTTCCAGGATCACTAAATCCATGCAAAGTTGAAGCAGTGTCGTCCTTCGGGTTGCAAGAAGGTCTAGCTGAATACATGTCAAACAAAACCGCGTTGCGGTACACTGCGGACAAGTTTTTAAAAATTGGACTTTTTCTTCTTCCGTATGAAAATATCGTTAGTTCAACCGAATGTATCGCTTATTAAATAGACACTCTGTTCTAAAGGAATTGTTTTGGTGTTTATAAACTTTTGCATTCTCAACAGATGGCAAACGTGACGTGTTTGGATAGCACAAATACATTGCGTACTTTTGGAGAACGCTTTATATTAATAAGCTCACATCCAAGTCACTATTGCAGAATCACACGATCTTCATGTTGTTCACCCTTTTAGTGCGAAGTCCGCAGGACGGAGTACTATTGGGGTTAGAATATTAGGAAAGGAACCTCGTTTGGGAGTCAAAATTCTTTTGAATTATCAACTCAAAAACGAGGTTTGTCAGGCTAATTTTAATACTTACAAAAGAATTTATAATTGGTACCCATTTCTGAAAAGGGTCTATGACGACATACTGAAAGACCTTAGCATAAATCTGTTAAACTTTTCCATTGTTAACTTCGTGTAGGGGTAGCTGAGGGCGCATAGGTGAGGCAAGCGGCCCTTTGAAAATACTACGAAAGATTTCAACCCTGGTTCCAAGACATTTGCCAGACACTTACCCAATGACTTTGAAAGGCAGTCAAATTCTAAAGCAAAATTTTAATGTTTGTAATGATCCTCCTAAGGATGTCTTATGTACATTTTTAGCATTAGTTTGATGGTTTAGAATCCTGTTAGCATAATTTGCTGATAGCTTTGAGTACTCACTGACTGGTATCCTTCGTGAAAAATCGTAGGTATGTCCCAGGATGACCCACCACATGCTTAGCACTCTCATACCATTGATTGAAGAGATGACGCTGGGTGGCACCTTGGTATCCATAATACGGTTTGTGTTTTGAATTAAGGAGAAACACAAGAAGAAGCGTACTACCACATCTGTGTCAAAACAAACGAAACGGAGCATGACTTGATTCAGTAGAGCCGAACCAATGAAAGATGGCTCAATTCCATGGCATACTCACTTGGTAAAACTGGTTCCTGTTGATGGTTTGTACATTCTTTAAGATTGAACTCAGAGGAGGACTGGAGTAAACTTGTTTTATCAGCATCAGGAATACTCTGGTCTGGCGCTATGGAGACACCTCCGATTGACACGAGTTCGTTGTTTGCGTTGAGAGGTGAGGAGTTCGACTTGGCAAAGCTAACAGCGATGTCGACAATCGTTCCAACAAGGCATAGGTACAGGATTACACCACACAAGACCCTGTACAAATTGACAATACAATGAATATGACGGGTTTAAAAGTATTCCTTTAAACATTGTTTACAAGTTAATGTAGAAATTCTCTCATCGGCACGGTATTTTTGAGCGCAACACAACAACGTTGGAATGTAATTAATCCTTTCATAATGACCTAGGGAGGGACACAGCAAATCTCGTAACATCGTTTCAGGATGGTTA